TAATCTTCCTAAGTTAATCAAGTCTCTTGTTGTATTTAACATGTTCTGTCCTGGAAAATGTCACATGTACATTGATGTGACTACCCCATTGATGTGGGTAGTGCTGTTGGGTGAAATGTTCTTTAGAAATCCCTTGGGTTTAGCTGGTTTATAGTCCTGTTTAGACATTCTTCTTTTCTGATCTGTCTTGTGGTTTTATTTAATATTGAGAGTAGAGTATAAAATTTTTAACCATTTATTTCTCCCTTCAATTCTGGCAGTATTTACTTCAAGTATTTCAGGGTATGTTTGGTGCATGTACGTTGTTATATATATATATATATATATATATACAGTTGTTATATCTTTTATAGTTAGTGAACTTACCATAGATTGTCCTTAGTTTTTCATAACAAATTTCTGTCTTCAATTATATTTGGTCTGATATTAGAATAGACATTCTTGTACCCTTTTGGTTACTGTTTTCATGAAATATCATTTTCCATACTTTTACTTTTGTGGGGTACCACAGATTGAATCCAAGGGCGCTTAACCACTAAGCCACACCCAGAGCCCATTTTTTGTTTTGTTTTGAGACACCGTCTAAGTTGCTTAGGGCTTTGCTAAGTTTCTGAGGTTGGCTTTTAACTTGTGATCCTCCTGCCTCAGCCTCTGAGCTGTTGGGATTACAGACATGAGCCACTAGGCTCAACCCATACTTACTTGTGTCTTTGAATATAAAGAGGGCACCTCCAAATCTAGCTGGATCCCGATATGCAGTTTGATAGGTAACTCTATAAAAAGTTCCAGTTCAGAAATAGGCAAAAATGATCTGCACTGACAAAATCAGGGAACTCCCTGGGGGGAGGAATAGGTGCAGAGAGCACAAGGGCTTCTAGGGCTTCTAGTCTGGATGCTGACTGCAGGCTGTTGGGTATGGTGGTGAAGGCCTATAAAAAAGCAGYTTGGGAGGCCCATGCAGGGGGGACATGAGTTCAAAGCCAGCCTCAGCAACTTATCGAGATCCTGTCTCAAAATAAAATATAAAAAGGTCTGGGGATGGGGGATGTGGCTCAGTGGTTAAGCACCCCTGGGTTCGATCCCCAGTATCAAAAAAAAAAAAAAATCCAAAAAAACCAACAACAAAAACAAAAACCAATCCACTAGTAAACACTATTGTTTGCAGATTCGTGTATGTGTGTATGTGTGCAGCCCTTCACAGAAACCTTAATTCTTGGTTCCTTTCTTGAGGGTGAGACTAACAAAAGGAAAATTCCTATTGTTCTTTCCTCCCACTTCCCAGGCTTCCTGCATGGAGGAGGGGGGGTGGGCTTTTCTATGGTGAGGTGCTGCCTCTTCTTGCTTTCTAGGAAGAGGTGCTCCATGTGGGGAGACCCCTTCACCCCAGGAATTGTGTTTAAGAAGACTTTTGGGAAAATGAGGTGAACTTGTATACTAGGAACTTCAACAATTAACACGAAGCCCCTTCTGGCTCCACTGTGTGGACATGACTGAAAGGTGAGCCTATGCAGAAGCAAACCCCGACTGTGGGATATCTGTCCTGGGAGGCTCTGTGAGCAGGAGGCAGCCTAAGGCCTCGTGAGGCCTGGCAGGCAGACGCCCTGTTAATTTGTGTGCTCAAGATAAAACATTCCACAAAAAGCACTCCTGGGGGGCTCAGGGAGCTTCAGAACTGCTGGCCACACTGCTGTACTCACTGCTGCACACAAACACGAGCTCCTTGTTAGGATGTGTGTACTCCCCTGGATGCCAATCACACGTTGAAAAACACATGATTTAAAATTAGATTCTTCAAAAGACAAAGGCCCAGCTCCATGGCCTGGTGTCAAAGGCCCTGGTTGATGATAATGGTATCAGCCTGAACCCTATTACCAACAAGTGTCCACCGAACACCTGCTGCATGCCAGATATCAAGGGCTTGATGACACATCAGGTACCTCACAGAAAGGAATCACGGCTAAGCAGGCAGCCTCTGGAATGGACTGTTCCCCTCCTCAGCCCTAGGATGCCACCACTGAAGCTGTCACTCCTCCCCTACAATGGGAGACCCAGAATGGGGGAAGCAGGCTCAGTGTCCAGATGCTTGTGTGAATCAAATGCCCCAAGGAGCGAAAGTAGCCAGAAGGCAGCAGGTGGCACACACAGGTGGGGGCTGAGGGTGCAGGCCAACCCCCTGGAAAGGGGACTGCCCACTGAGTGCTGGTGCCTCAGGCCTCCCTCCTCTTTAAGGTCTTCCTCCAGATCAGCTGAGGGGTCTGTTCAAACTTTTCCTGGGCCCACTGGAACAACAGTCTCTTCTGTTCAACCAGAAAGAATAGTTCCCTGAAAACAGGTCATGGCACTGCTACTAAAGAGGGATCCTAGAGGGAGACGAGGCCTGGGATGATCCTCTGCAGAGTGAGGTTCTCAAGAGGAAACCACAGCGTACCCTGGTATCTACGGTCCCTGTAGCTAGGACACTGTTCCCTTTTCCCACACCCATGGCAATCATTCCAGTGCTCCCAGTTTACCTTTGAACATTCCCCCAGTTAAACAGGCTCTGTGTTGTTAAACAGGTAACCTCCGTTGCCTGAATCTATTCACTCCTGGTCCAGAGAGCCGGCCGGGCTTCCACACGCCAGGCTACTCGAAGTCATCATCTGGGCAAATACAGTACATCCTGGTGGCCTCGGCTGGATAGTTTCAGTGCCGACTGGACCCTGGGGGATGTGCCTGACTGTCTCCTCCCCACACCCCTGAGAGGATGGGCCCCCATGTTTTCTCCAGTTCCCAGAACCAGGGTTACCCGATAGGCTGGCGGGCTTTGAGGTGCTGACCTTACTGTGTGCTGCTGGAACCAGTCACTCAGAACAGGGGTCAAAGCAACCACAGACGGCAAGCAATGTGCTTCATGTTTTTATTATTCTTTATTTATTGGTCCTACCAACGTGACTCTTTACCCAGGCCCGCTGTTCCTATGCGTGCTGGCTTTGTAGACATTCGTGTCACATGTCTGTGTCCAGAGAGTTTCAATTAATTTCTCCTTCCTATTCCTTTTCCATGCTCTGCCTCATTTTCTCAGAAATTGAAGGCATTTGCTTATTATTATTTGTTTGTTTGGGTCTGTGTAAAGGTTCCTTGGCAGGAAGACATGCATATGACTTTAAAATAAAGACCAACATTCTGACACTAAGGTAATGCACAGAAAAAATACAGTACTTAGACATCATTGCAAATAAATACCCCATACAGATGAAGTTATCTCAAATGTAACAATATTTCTTATGAATCAACACTGTAACAGAAGGTAAAAATAGGAGTCCCAACAACTAGGAATAAGAAATGCTCATTCCAGGAAACAGAATTCTTTGATTCTTGCAATTTATATTATTACAATTTGTCCCTTTTTTTGGAGGATGGAGGACAGCTTCTTTTCCTCCAATAGTACCAATCTGACCACACCCGTGAACCTCACTCAGCAAACAGAACAGGAAGCAGAYCTGGTTTGCTAAGGAGCTTTAATGAGTTCTGTTTCCTGAAATTAACAGTGATTAGTTACACCAAGCAAGAGAAGATATAATGTCTTGTTTTCACATTTGCAAAGAATACTATGGCTAACCCTCGTCCCCCACTCACGTGCCGACTACGCCGGCTCGCTCTCTCAACGCCCTCAGCTCTTCACAAACGTGGTGTTCGTACAGCTTGCTTAGCTTGTCCCATAAAGTCCATTTGGTTCCCAAAACACACTCAAGATTTTGTGGTTTTGTTTTCTAAGCCCCTGAATTTGCAAGTAAAGAATCACTGACTAACAGAATTTTGTACAATCACTGTTTTCTCTCCCTCAATGAAGATGCCCAGGTACAGGTGTGAGGTGAGTGCCGCTCCCACCTGTTGGTCCACACTGGCCTTCAGCATTCCCAATTAGCTCTTCACTGCACATTGTAGAGAATCAACTTCGCTGGGACACCTCCCTTAACTGATGAAGGCACTACTGGCAATGATTACTAACAAAAAGGCGTTGAAATAGAACACCCAAAAAATCGACAACTGTAGAATTTTCTAAGTGTACCACAATTTGGCACAACAACCAGAGTAACAAAACAATTCCAATTTGGAATTTCACTGGTACAGTTGTATAAAATTCTGTTAATCAGTCATGCTTCACAATGTCCTAAAACCCAGACAATTCTGGAATTTGTAGGTAATACTACTCATTCAATAATTTATCTTTTTTTTCAAGTGCCTATTACTGTTTTAACCAGAGCAAAGGTCAAGTTTTCTTCTTGTTACATTGAACTATTCCTAAGAATAATAATAATACAATATGAAAAACCCCAGAATCGAAATACCCTGGATTTCTTAATGAACATGGCATTTAAAATCTGTAATTTCAAACATGAGCCATAACGCCGTAAAACCTAAAAGGCTGAACCACAGCGTGGATACACGAGCTGAGCTCCTTGCTGGGCTGAAGCCTCCTTTCCAGTCTCGAGCTACACACTACGGAGCACACAGCTCTGTCTCGTGCTGACACCAGATCAACACGCCAGGAGCTAAGACGGACAGCTACAGGACCACGACCACAGACCACGGCATCTGAGACTGTCTACGCGAGGAATCAAGGAAGCAAATATAATATCAAAATATCAAAAGTGCACAGGTTGATCGGATAAAAAAGGAACGTGTATACTAAGGAGGCCCGCGGTGGGCGTTCCCGTGAGCTCCGAGAAGCCTGCGGGGGCTGTGGAAGCAGGTTCTTCGGCCGAGCAGAGGACTTTTCAGGCAGTAGCTCGCAGCATTCTCAATATTAAAGCTTTTTTTTTTTTTTTTTACTCCCATTAAAACCTCGGGGAATGCTATTTTGAAAAGAATTTCAGTGGCATAGCCAAAGCGTTTCTAAGTGGACTTTTAGGTTGCCCTTCCTTCCTCTGCATGGCCATGGGAGGGGAGGGGAAGGGGCTGCGGTGTGACAGGGCCAGGTAGCCACGTCCTCCCCAGCAGCTACTCTACAGCTGAAAATGGGAGAAAACAAGAAAGAGTTAGAAATTGGTCACCTGTTGCTTCCTGTTCACTCGACAACTAAAACTCTGATCGTGCTGGGCATGTGCGAGCCCGTTAGTTGGCGAGGGAGACCTGCGTGTGTGTTAGGGGGACCGGTGGCTCCGAGTGCCCGCAAAGCCCATTACAAGTACAAGAGAAGCTGCGTGCTGGCCTGGCGAGGAGACAGCAAGGAAGAAGGTGGATGGGCATGCGGGCAGCCATCCCCAGGATGGTCATGCAGGGGACACATGGCTTGTTCTGCACCCCAGCTGTTCTGCACTGTGTGGTGTCCAGAATCCAGAGGAGACCGAGCCACCTTCSGCACCAAAGAGAAGAGCGGGTGGTGGGCAGACGGCTGTGTGAGGACAACATGGCCTCGCACCAGGCAACGCTAGTCCCCTTCCCTTAGGGAAGCAGCAATCGGGAACAGACAGTAGCCTGAGGTCCAGCTGCCCCCAAAGGGATCAGGAGAAAAATACTGAGAAGAGTTCTGCTTCAGAACGTGTGAACTCAGATGCCTGATGCCACAGCTCTGGCGCAGACAGAGCCTCCCCATATAAGAAAGCCCTTGGCTAGCTTTCCTCTGTCACCACCCCCAAATTGCACTAAATAGAGAACCACACACCTCCTACCTGCCAGCCAGGGAACCAGCCCCGGGGCCATGCAAAGCTCTCCCAAAACAAGGCTGGGCTCTGCTACACCTGTATCCTGCAGTTCAGCCGAGCCTGCTGGCAGCTCAGACTTCAGGCTGCAGTTCTCAAAGCCCTGCTTCTTCAGGTCGGAAACTCCCTGGGAGGAAGGCCTGAAAGTGGGCAGCCCGGGTTATCCAAATACAACAGGACAGGCGTCACACGGAGGACCAAGAACTGGCCAGGCACTTGGAACACTTTTCTTATTAAAAAAGGAAACCCTAGGCCTTGGGCCCTGCCAACTGGGACCTCACAGGGCCACCAGACCAGCATGTAAATCTCAGAAACCAGGGCTGCTGAGCTCTGCTCTCCTGTGCTACCCACAGTCAGCTGTGTCTGAGACGTGAGTCTTGTCTGTAGAATGCAAGAGCTCAGGGCCACTCTTCTCTTGGTCTGGGGATGAAATTCTGTACTTTTGTCCTGAATGTGATTTGCAGTGAGATCCTGCAAAAGACTACAACATAACTCTTTCCTTAAAACTATGCCAACCGCAGAGCCATCCTGAGGCTGGATGCCAGAACCTTCTACCACTGCTTTCAGGTGCTGACATTAGACACATGCGAGGAACATGCAAGTTTCAATTCAGGTTCTGCCCCTCTGTGGGTCCCAAGGGAGCGGGACCGGGACTCTTTCCATTGCGTTTTCCCGATAGTGCCTGGGGCCCCGAAGACACTTCTTGCACTTGTCTTCAGTAATGGAGCACAGCTCCACCCCCACCTCTGGGATCCCACCAAGACAACAGCTGACACCAGGAGCTCCTGAGGGGGCTGAGGAGGAAGAAGCGACACAAAGCTCACAGGAGCATCCTGGTGACAGATGTGCCCCACGCTGCTGCTCGGCTAGAATCCTGCCCTCTGTGCATTAGTCACGTTAAGACCGGCCTAGCACCGCTGTCCCGCTGCTGCTGGGTTAGTTGAGGTGAAGCAGACGTTAGCTGCAGCGTGCGGCGCCCCCACAGCCCTAATCACAGTAAATGCTGTGCTTCTCACTGCAGAACACCTGGTTGGAGAGCCCAGTGCCCTCAGCCCTGTCACTGGCACAGGCACAGGTGTGACTTACGCTCGGGGTGACTGGCTTGGCCTTGGGGGTGGCCTTGGAACGGCCCCGTCGGGTCTGCTCATGGTCCAACTCGAGCAGCTCCAGCCGTTGGGTCAGCGCTAGCTTCTGCTGGATGGCCATGCGCAGCAGGGAGTTAAGTGTCTTCTTCTCATCCTCCGCGGCGGCCAGTTGCCGCTGCATCTCATCCAGCTGTGTGATATACTCGTCACATCTGTGGGGACCAAGAGCACAGCTAAAGGGCCAGGCAGGGGAGGGCTGTCCCTCACGGGGCCGCTGGGTTGGGGCAGGAGCTGAGGGACGAGACAAGTTCTGATTCCTTCTAGCAAGGGCAGGAGTCACGACTAGGGTCAGAGGGGTGCTCGGTCCCAGGCAGCACAGCACTGTAAAGTTGGTTTAAATTTTGTCTTGCCTTTTTGGGGCAGGGGGAAGGGCTATTTTGCCATTTGTTTAAAAGACATTCCTATAAAAAGGTTATGACCCTGAGCTATTTGGTTCTTCTGACTTTAAGGGCACAAGGTGGTTCAGGTACCCAAGACATCACTAGCTCTCAGGGTCTGAGAATAAAGCCAAGGCAGGACTGGGCTTGTTCCCACAGTAAGCACACTGCTGGTACTTGGCAAGTCCGTGCTGAACAACACCCAGGGCCACGGAAAGGAACGTGTGGATTCTGTACACAACACCATCCTGGTACCGGGGCCTCCACCTACTGTGACACGTTGGCCCCACCCAGGTGCAGGCTGGGGAGGAAAGAGAAACACCTACCCTATTCTGTTCCTGGCATCCCTCTCCCATGAGGGCCTGGGGGAAGTGCTGAGACATCAGGCAGGTTAAGCCTCAGGGCTACAGGATGGTGGGGGGACATGCCATGCACTAAGCACAGCCCCTCCATGCCCGTCCCACATCCCTGCCTTCTGGGTGCCCACCTACTGTGAACCACCCTCTGCCAGCACCCTCTCAGTAACATACCTGCACTGCTTACTCACAGGTTTAGAACTCTGGGTCCATCTGAAGTCAGGTCTCTATTTATATTTATGGTGGTACTGAGGATGGAACCCAGGGCCTTGTGCATGCAAGGCAAGCACATTACCAACTGAGCTACAGCCCCAGCCCTTGAAGTCAGGTCTTTAAATAAAACAAGTTTAAAAGACTAGGGTCCACATGCCATATGCCAAGGAGTCATTTGACCCTTCCCCAAGAACTTTCCTACATCCCAGGAAGACAAGAAACTTCTAGAGAAACCCTGGAACTCTCCTCATCCCTGCCTACCCTGGCAGGGCCTCTCCATGGAAGTCTGAGAAACTGGGAGTGACTGGCCTGGGATACAAGAAGCAGTTTCTGGCCCAGCTCCCATCCTGTCAACCCTCAGCGTCTCCACTTTCTTATCCACCATAGGAAATGGCTGGGTTGACCAGGTTCTGAGGGGTTGGAGGGTGGAGATATCCCCCACAATGCCACCCCAACACCTACCAGCAGGTGGTGCTGTCTGCCTTTGAATGGTAAAAAGCCAGCGACCTGTTTTCCAATCTTGGGATCTGATCTCCCCCAGCCTGGGAGGGGTGTAAACACAGAGTGGCCTTCAGACTATCCCAGGACCCTCATAATAGGCAGGGTGGGGATCTACAAACTTGAACTCTTTGTTATGAGCCTTATAACCTAATTCAGGACTTATCATCCACTGGACCTGAGTTAGCACTTGTAACTCTTGGGTCCCGTTTATCCACAAAGCTCATTCCACTTGATCCCTTTGCTCCTGAGCTTCCTTATACTCACAGCAAAACTAATTGAATCTGCCAGGTTTTCACTAATAGCAAAATTAGAAAGAGCCTACAGAACTGGGCTGCTGGGGCCAGGCCAGGCAGCGACAAGAATGGGAAGGACTGCACACCCTCAATGAACGTCAGCGCATGATGCCCGCCAGGCATGTTCCCACCTGGGCACCTGCCCACGAGACGCTCGGGAAGCTGAGGCACAGACAGCTGGGGACCTTGATGCTGCAGGTCCTTGTATCTCTCACTCCTCCTTCTCACCAACTTGAGCCATATGCCAGGGATGGAATGGGGCAGTCCTCCCCAAACCCTGAGTTGCACTGGCCCCTGAAGATGCTGGACACGAGCCCTGCCAGGCCAGCAGGGCTGTGGGCCTCAGGCAGGGAGAGGCTGAAAAAAAGGAAGGGTTGTGGGTGCTGCAGTTACCTGGTGGCGAACATGGCACGCAGCGAGGAGAAAGTGGCTGCGTCTTCCTTGAGGGCCTTGAGCTCGTTACGTAGCTTCATCATGGTCTCAGTCACCATGGCCTTCTCATTCTCATACTTGCTCTTCAGGTTGGCAAGGGCCACTTCAGCCGTCTAAGGGACAGACAGGTGCAGGGCGAGTAGGTGAAGGGTGTGAGGCTGTCCTGGAGATGCTTTAGGTTCACAGGGGCACCCTGGGTCTCAGGTGTGCTGCACCCACAAAGAACATTACCTGGGAGACACCTCCCTCCATGGACCCCTGGGGACAGGCTCCAGCAGCCATGCCTCATTTCAGTTTTCCTCATTGAGTTCCACTCTCTATCCTCACCAGTATAGGAAGACTGTGCACCCCGCAATCTGCCTTGGGGATCCCACAAAGTCCACATGGCTCTCTCCAGGGCAATCAGGCTGGGTCCTCACATTTTACTTCCACCTCAGAGTTGGTGGAAGGCGCTCGGCGGTAGTTTTTACTAGCCAAGCTGCTCTGGTTGAAGGGACCCTCAAGAGTGCCCGCCCATTCCACCCTCTAGCTGGGAGCCATTGGCAGGCAGAAGGCAGGAGCCTACACTGACACACAGAGTCAGTCCTATCTTGTAGGAAGCCGGAGAGGCCCTGCAGCAGGAGGAGGTTGGAGACCAGGGTAAGAAGCGTCCACCAGGCCAGTCCCATCTCACCTGCTTGTTAGCCTTGAGCACAGTGCGCAGCGTGGTGATYTGTTCCCTCTTGGTGCTGAGCAGCGACTTCAGCTTGAGGATCTCCTCCATGAGTGCCTCCTTGTCCTTGTCCACAGCAGGGCCCAGCTCCTGAGAGGCAATGCGCTGCCGGGACAGCTCTGTTGTGCGGTCCACGGCAGCCTGCAGGTGCTTGATCTGGTCGCGGATGATAGCAATCAGGTTGTAGATGTTCATGGGCTCCCGGCGGGGATCACTCAGGGGTGACGGCAGTGAAGAGCTGGGTGAGGGGCTGCTGTCCCCAGGTRCACTATCTGCTCGGCCCACCTCTGTGGCCAGCAGCCCCTTGGGCAGGAGGATGGGTGAGCGGCGCCCGCGGCCCTCGGGGCTGGTGCGGCCGGCCCCGCCCTGGCCCTCGCGGTAGTAGTCCAGCATGACACGGTTGGGGGTCTCGTTGTTGCACATGCACACGTGGTGGTAGAGATTGGCCAGCTCCTCACTGAAGGTGACCAGCTCATCCTGGGCCACGCTCAGGCTGCCCTGCGTCTCGCCAGCCACATCGCTCACCTTCTTCAGCTCCTTCTCCAGCCGGGCCAGTAGCTCCCGATCCTGGCGGCTGGCCTTCTCCAGCAGGGAGACCTTCTCGGTGAGTGCCTGGCCTTCAGCCTCATAGCGGCCTTTCTCTTCTGCGTGTTGGGCCTCAGCAGCTTCATGTGTGCTACGCAGTGCCTTGAGCTGCTCACGGAGCTCACCAGCCTCGGCCACGGCCACATGGTACTTGCAGGCCAGGATCTCGGGCCCATTGATGTCTACTTCATAGTAGTCACCATCCTCGTGGCTGTCGCGGTCCTTCTCATTGTCCAGGGCTGTCTGCCGCTCCTTGCTGGCCTGCAGGCGCCGCAGGGCGCTCACGTTCTCTGTGAGGCGGCTCACCTTCTCATGCTGCTCGGATAGGGCTCCCCGAGCTTGCTCCAGCTGCTTCTGCGTGTCCTGCAGTGTGGCCAGTAGGCCCACCTTCTCCCGCTCCATCTGCAAAGGCACAACAGCAGGAGAGCCTGTGAGAGGACTTCCAGGGTGGCCCAGCAATACATCCTGGTCTGTGCCAGGATGGGCCTGGGGGTTCCCTGACCAGGCCTTCAGCAACATGCAGGGTGCAAAGCGGACAGAATTTGCAGTAGATCCTCAGAATGCTCCCATCCCCAGCAATGGTGGTCATCCCTAAGGGCTCCCTCCACCCCTACTGAAGGAGAGTAAGCTCAGAATGCAGAGCAACACGTTGGCAGAGCAGGTTGATGGGGACTCTCGCTGCCCTAGCTCTCTGCTCTGAATGACAGGGGCTCTGCCAACTGTCCTGCCCCACTCTGTGGAAGGCACCTGATTATTTGCTGCATCAAGAGCAATCTCCCAGGAGATGAGCCCACACATGGCCCTGTTGTCACTGTGGCTTGTGGTCTTTTGGAGTGAGGGGACATGTAATACCAGCCAGCATTATGCACTTCACAGGGACACTATGTGGGTACTGAGGAATAATATGAGCAAAAGGTGTCAAACCTCACCTAATAATCAGGAGCCTCCTTCTTTGGGACTCCACTTCTTTCTACTGGAGTTTCAGTCATGCTAATGACACCATTTAAAATCAGTGGGAGTAAATTAACATTAGTAAGGTGCCAGGAGAGCCCAGCTGCCAGCCTTGGGAGGGGCGGAGGGGGGGCTGCCTGCTCACCTGCACCAGCTGCTGCTTCAGCTTCTGGATCTCAGAGATGTGGAGCTCGCTGAGCAGGTCAGAGACGAGGCTGGGGGAGGGGGGTGCCAGCCCATCCTTCCTGGGTGTGGACGTCTTATTGTCCAGCGATGGCTTGGCCAGGCCACCGTGCTCAAAGCCATTGACTAGGGCCTCGGCATCATTGTTGGGCTCGGCAGCAGTGTCATCACTGAACTTGAGGCCGTCCAGGGAGACCTGCAGGTGGCTGGTGTAGAAGGAGTCATTGATGCTCATGTAGTGCGACAGCTCCTTGCGCAGACTATTCTTCTGCTCCCGCTCCGTCTTCAGTGTCTCTAGAGCCTCCTCCAGCTGCCGTTCTGAAATCTCCTTGAGCCGGATGGCGTCTTCTAGCTGGCTGTTCAGGTACTCAGTCTCCTCCTCCAGGCGCTTGATCTCATGCTTGAGGCCCTCAAACTCCACCTGAGAAAGAGCATTAATACTCAAGGTGACTTGGAGGCCCTGCTTAGGTCTGACAGATCAGTAGAATGTACCACAAAATGTGAGGTGACCCTCATGGTGAAGCACTATCCTGCAGAGGAGGCAGAGGCCAATGCCATTTACTCCATCAAGGGATGTAGATGCCAAGAGCATTCCAGGGCATGGGACGCACATGCACAGAAACACCCAGCCCACTAGCAGGAACCATGAGGGTGGGCAACACCAACCCCAGACACGGGCAGCCTGCGCTGCTATGGCCCTGGGAACACGCATCTATACTGCCAAATTTCTACAAGGTTTCTTAAAAATATCACCAAGTGTATTGATTAAAATTCTACAAAATTGGGGCTAAGGTTGTGGCTCAGTGGTAGAGTGCTCGCCTAGCATGTGTGAGGCACTGGGTTTGAACCTCAGCACCACATATAAGTAAAATAAAAATATTGTGTCCATCTACAATTAAAAAAAAATCTACAAAATTACTTAGTTAACATTAATAGCCAACCAAGGATCTTAAGGCACATAAAATATATACTCCTATGTGTGCTATGGCTATTATTTCAAAATGAAGGAACTGAAATTCCCCTGAAGGAGAATGTCTCAGCACCAAACCCTCAGAACTGCAGGCCTCAGGGAATTAGAGGGTGGGTGGAAAGCACAATCAGTCTCATTGATTTGAAAATGTATTTGCAGTGAACAGGAAAAGAGAGGACATAAACTGATGCTTAATGTGAGGAGTCAGGACATTTGGACAATTTTTTTTCCCCACTTTTGGGCAATTTTAAAAAATATGCCTTAGTCTATGATATTTTTTCAAAAACAAACAAAAAAAAAAMCAATAAAATGAAGAACTGAATGAATCCATGGGTTCTGGACAGGACAGGTGGCATCGTATCCTAGGGTGTGCTCACAAGAGGTGGAGACCTGAACCTCAGTGTCCAATACTGGTAGGTGAGGAATGCTGGGGAAAGGGGTGACTTCATCAAAGACAGGGTCTCTCCCACCCGCAACTTCCTCCTCAGATGCTATGGGCTGCTTCTACAGACAGTAATGACCAAGGACCAAAGGATACCTACTCGTGGACAACTGCTATTACCACATGCAGGCATGAGCTGTCACTGCAGCACAGGGGCTGTGAGCTGTCCTTGCAGTTCCTGGGGAGCATAATCTGCTCCCCACTTGCCTTTGTAAACACAGACTGTGGCATAAACACACAAGCTGCTCACCCAGGATATAAATATTGGGCTCCTCCTGATGGTAACACCTTCTGCTGAGAGGAGCTGGATGGGAGAGGGGTTCTGAGGAAAGCAGTCCTGAACAAAGTTTAGAATTTCTTGAGAAAAAGTTCTCTGCAGGGCTGTGGCTCTCGGAGAGGGGGAGGCACATTCAGGCCTTGAGTGGTCYCCAGAGCCCGGGCACCTGTGTCATCACAGAGAGGGCCCTCTTCATCTCTGCTGCAAGTGGAGGCATGGCAAGGGGACAGAGCCCAGAGGGTTCTGGTGCCACTACTCTATCTTCTCTTGGTCTCTTCCCTACACTGCAGCCTGGCCGACGGTCAGCAGGCACTGCAGCCACAGGCTTTGTTTTGTGGCCCTGGAGAGTCGAGGCCCTCTCGGCTGCATCCCCTGCCTCCACTGTAGTGTGCTGGTTCTGGGCCTCAGGTGTGTGGAGAGAGACAGGAGACAGAGGACAGGGGTGGGCGAGAGGGGTGAGACCCAGAGCTGATCTGTGTGCCCACCCACACCCTCAGACTCGCCTGGTTCTGTCTGAGCACAGACACTTGCTTCTGTAGGCTGATGTTCTCTTCCTCCAGCTCGGAGTAGTCCTGCAGCAGGCGGGCCTCCCGGAACTTGTATTCCTTGATGTCATCCCGCAGGCGGCTGCGCTGGATCTCCACATTCTGGTTGATCTGCCAGAGCAGTAAAAATGTGGGCATGAGTGACCTCTGTGGCCAGCCCCACCATTTTTGCCTGTAAGTGGCATAAGAGGAGCTCAGTGTAGGCAGACACACATGGCATACCATAGCACCAGGACTTAGGATCCAGTCCCTTGGGCACCAGTGTGGCCACCTGACAGGGAGAAGCAGCCCAAGGCAGTATAGTATGTAGGGAAGAGCACATGGTCCTGAGTCAGATTCTCTCAGCCCTTCAAAGCCGAGGAACCCATGGCAAGTGACACAGCCTGCTCTCAGCCTCAGTGCTCCATCTGTAAGATGGGGTCACCCCATTGGTGGGCTAGTAAATGGTGATGCTATGGCACACGTCTGCTCAAACAGTTAACCTAGAGAAACGAACACACATCCACACAGAATCCTGTACACAAATGTTCCCAGTCACAAGGTGGAAGCAATCCAAACATCCATCAACGGGTGAATGAGTAAACAAAATGTGGTCTATCCATATAATGGAATGGTATTCAGCCAAAATAAGGAATGACGTCTTGACACTTGCTCCAACACGAATGAACCCTGAAGACATTCTACTGAGTGAAAGAAGCCAGTCACAAGAGGCCACACGTTGTAGGAATCCATTATATGAAATGTCCAGAACAGGCAAATCCATAGACAGAAAGTGGATTAGTGGGTGCCAGGGGGGATGGGACTGATTGTGAATGGGGTTTCTTTTTGAAGCAATAAAATCTTCTGAAGTTGACTTTAAGGGCTGGGGGTGTAGCTCTGTGGTGCAGGGCTTCCCTAGCACGTACAAGGCCCTAGGCTCAATCCCAGCACTACACACAAAAATAAATAAATAAAGGACTACCGAAAGGCACACATCTGTAAATATTTGCTAAAACTTCTGATCGCACACTGTAAGTAGATAAGTTGCATAGGGTGTGCATAATCTCAACAAAGCCTGTTCTGGGCTCCAAGTCACCTGTGAGGAGTCAGAAAGGGAGAGGCCTGGGCAGGGCTAGGGTAAACATGAGGCAACCCAGACTGCAGGAATTCTCAACCTGCTAATGCCCACATCACGCGCCTGGAACCACATGCCTCCACCTCAGCCCTGGAGATGCTTGGGGCCAGGTGTTGGCGATGGGGGCTGCCCTGGACGCTGCAGGGTCCACTCAACAGCTCCCTGAGCTCTGTCCACCAGATGCAGCCCCTCCTGCACTGTAGTATCTGAAGGTGACTCCAGACACTGCCAATGTTCCCTGGGTGCAAATTCAACACCCAGACAAGCCTCCATCCCCTCCCTGCACTCTACTCCCTTCCTGTCCCCTGCTCCTAGTGCCCAGGTAGCATCCCCAGGCTAACAATGCCCCTGCTCCAGAGCCCTTAACCAGAAGCCCTGTTCCCACCCTGGACCCAAAGCTCTGTCCTCACTGATGCTTCCCACTCACAGTTTATGTGGGATTTGCTTCTAGTCACTTTATCATGCGTTCAYCTGAAGGGCTCACACCTTACTGATGAGACTCCAAGATGCCACACAGGCACACACAAAACAGCAGCGCTGGGTCAGTAAAATGAAACAGGACCACACAAGAGGAAGAGAAAGAAAGAAAGAAACAAGGAAGGCCACGGAAGGGGGAGTCAGGATACAAGATCCACTGAGAAATAAATGCTTACCACTCAGAACAAAGATCATATTTAAAATTTATGACAAAGCGACACACAGCCCTCTCATGAGGTAACCCAAGGAGGCACCAGAGCCAACACCAAGAGAAAGGGACAACACGTAGAGAGGAAGAGAAGGCCAAGTCTCACAAAACCTCAGGCAGGAGGAGAGGGCGGGTGAGGCATGTGCTGGGATGGAGGGAGAGAAAAGAGCCCAAGCACAGCCACAGGAAGGACCACAGGCCCCTCTCGACAGCTTGGAGGTGCCATGCAACCAAAGCACCAGGCTCTTCATGTTCCATGGGGGCTCAGGCCCCTCTGCCAGAAGTGCTCCCCAACCCCTGCCCTTTCTCTGCTAATGCTCATGGCATGCAGCAGTGCTCAGACAGGTGGACATGGCTGGCTGCTCAGGTGGAATGGGGGCCGAGGGAAAGGTCCTGAGTCCCATCAACTCCCCAAGTCTGTGCATCAAAACTGGTAGACCTAGGAGATCCTCCAGGTGGTGAGAGAGAAGGGTTGGAGGTGTTTTCAGGGGAGGGGCAGAAAGATGGCGAGGTGCCCAACTGAAGACAGCAGCAGATGGCCACGCTGGAAGCCTGGTAACTCTAGGGACCCCAGACACGGGGAGTACTGCACTGCTGTGGCCCTGTCTGTGCCATCTGTGCAAGTCCTCAGCTCCCTGAGCTCTGTCCACCAGCCTGGCCATGGCAGAACACTCTAGAAGCTCTGCATCTGCACCGTCACTAGGCAGGGAATCCAGGGTGTCAGCCATGASAGAGCCTTCTGCTGGTCAAGAGTGTTTGGGCCCATGCAGGCCTATGGGTAGGTGGCCCTGTGGTAAGACACAAGAACTGAGGGGCATACACAAGTCACGCGCTGGCCTGGCAATACCACATGGCAGTGAGGGCACCCAAACACCTGCATTTTCATTCCAGGGCAACCATACTTCCTTCCATCCCTGATACACCCGCGTGGGCAGCAAGATTCAGCTGGCCTGCCGCCTGGCACCACCACCCAGCACACACCCAACTGCAGAGAGCTCAAGCAGGCTCTGACTGGCCACAGGAGGGTTAGCTTTCCCCAGGTAACCACCTTGTGACAGGTGAGCTGGTGTGATATTAGCACAACAGAGATGCTACAGAGGACAGGCTCTGCTCTGTGAAGAACTACACTGGTTGGGTAGGGCAGGGGCACGGACCTAGATCCAACCAGCTGGGTTCCATCCCAGCTTCCCCTTCCTTGGGACCACCCAGCAAGAGCCAGTATGCAGGGGTGTTGGCTATCCTCCTTACTGACCCCCAGAGTCTCCAACCCCACCCACCCAGGACACTATGTCTGCCCTGATGGCACAAGGCAGCCCCGGCAGCTCACTAGGCCTTTGTGTATGCACGGGGCCCTGCTCTCCCAGCCTGCATGAAGTTCTCTGGCCTCTGCCATCTGGGAAATGAGGCCATGTCCCTCTCAATCCTGTCCAGAATATTCCTAAGATGCTCATCCACCTACCAGGGGCCCCGAACCCCCCAGAAAGCTGACAAGATGTCCACCTCAGGTCCCCCACACAGCAGACATCAGGAGACAGAACCCCAGAGCCACTTCACACGCCTGTTTCCTCATGTGTGACAGGACACTGGTAGGGTCACCAGGATGACCAGGTCTGAAGATCAGACACAGGTTTAAGCATGTTTGGTATCATGAAGTTTCACATGTTCTCAAGGGGGGCTGGATGTGGAGGAGGACAGACACCTAACCAGTAGTCACTGGGCCGGGGTGGGGGGGATCAGAGAAGCTGTCGGGGGCAAGGTAGTGGGTCAAAAAGGGCAAACTGAGGGCCAGCAAGACCAGTGGGTGGAAGACACAAGTGTGCCCTCTCCAACCCATGAAGGCACAAGCCTCAGGCAGTGAGAGAGGACAGCCATGCCATGGCCACAAAGGAGCTTAGCAGTGGCTCAGACCAGGACACAAAAGCAGCAGGGAGACAGGAGCTGAGGAGTGGCTAGGAATGGGGGGAGTCCAGACACGGGGGTGGGGGGGGGCTTCCCAGCCAGGTACATGGGAGGCCAAGCCCAAGAGGACAGAGTGCCACAGGCATAAGGACCAAGGACAGAGGTGGGGACCCAAAGAAATGAGGGCAGGGGTACACAGGGAGACTCAGGATTTCCTCCTGAGCCAGGAACAGGAACAGCAGGACTCTCCCGCCCCTCCCATCTTTGACTCACTGAACTCATTTCCGGCCCAGCAGGGGTCACCCAGCCCTCTCTGCTGCCAAGGAAGGCAGCGTGATGTGCTGGACTGTAGAGAGCCCCTGCCCACCCCTGCACTGGCTTTGCAGGACAAGAGGAGCCAGAATAAAAGGGATGGCAGCAGGGGCAGATGTGGCTAGTCTCCCCCTCGGGATGGCCTCGTCTCCCACCCTCACCAGAGCAGCACTTACCAGGGAAATGATGTCACCACTGTGGCTAGAATCTGAGGGCTGTCCCCCAGGTCCAGCTCCTCCCCAGGCCCCCAGAGCTCACTGGCCCCAGGGCCAGTGTCCCCAAATTCCTGGATGGTGGGCTGCGAGCTGCCTATGGGGCCCTGGCTGCTGCACACCCTGGTACCCCATGATCTGCTGACCTCTTGGTCTTACAGCTACAGCAGGCCCAGGGTGGGGCTCTCACAGCTAAAACAGGCCCAAAAGTCCTTGAAAGATATGGGGTCAAAGAAGACGGGTGTCCCCTAAGGGGCTTTAGAAACTACATGGGTACACAGGCGGGAAACTGAGGCTGACCCTGAAGACAAGGCTCTGTCCAGGTCTCGAGGCCCAGTGAAGAGCACAGCTAGTATCCACACATCTCCATGGGAACCTAGAGGCTAAAAGCTCAGGCCACAATCAGGACTGCAGCTCATGTGGGAATTGCTGTGTCTGCTGCTGTTCCTGGTGACAGAGTCCCTGGCCTAACCCGGGACGCCCAGGTCTGTCCACACCCTCGCCTTGGTCATAGGGACTCAGCACTGGCAGGCGTCTCCCAGGCTCTCAGACCCATCTTTATCCCTATGGCCACAGACCACAACAGGACCAGGGCTCCTCCAGGGTCCTGACGAAGGCCTGCAGCGCTCTCCTTTGACACCGTCCTCCTCTGGTGCAGGCCTACCTTCCAGGAATGGTCTCGCCCTGAAGAAATAAAACCTTCCCCAGGTGAGGGAGTGCCCAGCGAGGGGAGCACACTGTGGGCACCAGACCTGGGCCCCACAAAGGGCTGATCACTTCTCTGGTCTGGGCCTCCTCAGGGCACCTGCCTCACCAGCAAGTTGGGCAGAACCCAGATGCTGAAGTGCTCATGCCTTCACCTCTGAGCTGTGGGGAACAAGACCAGAGGAAAGGGGGGAACCTGGAAGAAGTCACAAAAGCCAGCACAGCACCAAGGCACACCTGCCATGCAGTGCCACTATCACAGGTGACAGACAGTACCCCCAACCAGCAAACCTCCTTCAGCTCCTGGGCCACTGATGTGAGGCGCTCATTCTCTGACTGCGTGTTGGTGAGGACGTTGCGCAGCTGCTTCAGCTCCGTCTGCAGCTCCAGCACCTTCCGCACATAGTACTGCTCCTTGGAGGCCGACTCCTGGATCAGGCTCTCTTCKCGGCTCTCACCATCTGCAGCCACCTTCTTGTGGTTTGTGTGCGCCTGTCCAAATGCCTGTATCAGGAGATAAGACACTCATGACACTGCTGTCCCAGGACCACAGAACCAAGGAGATGATCTCACTGCAGGAGAGCAGGCTAGGGGTGAGGGCCTCAGTGTGGGAGGTGCTGTGTGGCGCGTGTGCGAGCCCTCTTCACCATAATGAACACCAACAGAGTCTTAGGAGSAGTGTGGACAGTAACAGGGTTCTGGGTTCAGGACATCATGTAGACAAGTGTGGCAGGATCTCCCTCTAAGTGGGACCAAGTGCCAGGCCTCATCCTTGGGGCTGACACGGAAGCTCCTGAGATCCATCAGGAGTCCGACTCCATAAGCCTGGCTGATCCAATGGGGAACAACCCCAAGGCTATCCACACAACCATGACCTCCTCCCCACTCCAAATAGGGAAACCAAGGCTCAGGGAAGTGCACTGCCCCCGCCCCCCACAAGAGGTAAGGAATCTTCCCACCCAGCCACTTAATGCTGACCCATCCCCCTTCATTTGTTCTGAAAGAAACCTGAGCAGTCAGAGCCCCAGAAACCAAGGATGGCAATGGGGTAAAAAACTGCCAGAGAGCCCAGCACAGTGTGTGCAGACCCAGAGGTGAAGACACCATTGCGTCCCAGACAGAGAAGCCCTGGGGCTCAGAGAGAAACCCCTAAGGAAGAGCAACCAACAATGGGCTGGCCTAACCCGGGACACCCAAGTCTGTCCACACTCTGAGGTCAGCAGCTGTGCCATGCCCACACCCGTCCTAAGGACCCTGGCCAGCCTAGTCTCCTGTTCTCTGCCCCTGTGAAGGGCCAGACACTCAGCAGGTGTCCTCCCTGCTCCCTCCTCTGTTTACAAGACACCAGGCCCACAGCACGAAACAAAATCAAGAGAAGGGCTACTAAAGAGCAAGAAAATGGATGATTTTTTTTTTTTTGGTCTTAAAAAAGAACAATTTCTTCCTTTAATACTTATCGTTAAGTCTAGGAATTCAGCCCAAGAAAGCAACTGGGAGAATGTACAAAGCTGTGTTGCACAAGGATGCTACCAAGCAGGTGACTTCTAACGTCCATTAATCGAAACAGAGGGCAACCCACTTCCCTCCCGACAGGGACCAGCGAAAAGGTCTGGTCTGAGCATCAGGTTCCATGGGGCCCAGAGTGGAGCCAGGAGGAGAGGGAAGACAGGCCCACCTCAGGTCATCACAAGGACAGAGGACCCTGCCTGCAAGCACACCTGGGAGCAGCCACGCGTGTATGTCCCATGTTGTGGGGAGCACTGGAACAGACCAAGAGACACTACAACCCAGTAGGACAACCAGGGATGGCTCCGGGACTGCATGGGGAGGCCTGGGGCTCACACTGTGACACTCCTACAGCAGATCTATGGATGTTCATGTCATCCATCCTTTCTCAAGCGGACAGGGACATGATCACCTGCCCTCAGCCCAGCAATGCTCTGTGCTCCAACGCAAAGCAGCTCATCTTTGTGATTCCTGTTCCGCACTCTCATGCCGGTCCCAGGAAGGGCCTAAGTAACAAAATGCTACATTTGCACAGCACCTGACSCAAGCTGGCTGCCCAGTGCAGGACACGGGAAGGGAAGCTAGACATGGAACTGGCCCCAACCCAGGGCTTCTAGCCTGAGTGACAGTTCCCGCCCCAAGTCCCTCATTAGATAAGGGGTGGCTGTAGGCCACAGGCCAGCACAGGGCAGTGCCAGGCCAGCAGGGTCTGACTTGCATGGACTGGATGCCAGCACCTGTGCAGCTCGGGACACACCCACAAACTTGAAACTGGAGCTGCAGACATCTCAGAGGCTTTCTTGGAGTGCGATGGATACACGCTGTGACACACCAAGTCAAGTCCAGGCCTGCCCACCTGGACCTTGAATCTCCTCTTCCATCCAAGCTCCCAGTCTGGAGCCTTCGGGTACCCCAGATGGCTTTGCATACACAAAGTAACAGAGCCTCTAGTTCAGAGACGATGGCCACAGGGAACAAATCTACTTCCTATGTGAAAAATTTTTTAAAAACTGAACAGTGATGGAAATAATTTGAATGAATAATAAGTAGCAGTTTTATCAGGTCATTGGCACCAGGTAATGAGTGACAAGATGACAGAAGCTACACAATGGTCCTCACCCCACAGCAGAAACTTCCGGGTCATGGTACAGAAAAGTCACCTGGGGTGGGGGGAGGAGTGGTGGCCTGTGGAGGGGGAGGGGGAGCTGGAAGACAGGAGGCAGGGCAGAGGAGGCAGACCTGTGCACAGAGGAGTCTTCAACAAGGATGGTGGGATGGTCAGCACAGGCTGAGGAAGCCAGGCAAAAGGACACACAGGGGCCAGAGGGAACAATCCCCACCACTCACAAAGTCTGAAAACAAGAGCCAGTTCCCACCAGAACTGGCCAGAGGGAGCCCTCCAAGGACTGGCAAAAATCAGTCAGGATTAAACGCTGCTCTGGTATGGCACAGCAAAGGATAAAGACAAACCCTGGGCCGGCTCACGTATCTGTAGTCCCAGCAACTCAGGAAGCTGAGGCAGGAGGATTGCCAAGTTCAAGGCCAGCCTGGCAACTTATCAAGACCTTGTCTTGAAACAGAAAATAAAAAGGGCTAGGGCTTAGCTCAGTGGTACAGAGAACCTGGGGTTCAAGTCCCAGTAATGTCAATAATAATAATAACAATAATTAAATTAAATAATAAATAAAGACAAACCCTGAAAGAATCAACATTTCCTAGCCACTACATCATAGAACAAAGCTGAAGAACCAGGTGAGATCCACAGCAAACCAAGCTAAGGAAGAAACATCAATGAATAGCACTGAGTGCTAATGTGACCATGGAAGGAGTAGCTGGGCCGAGAAGTAGGGTACCAGAAGTCAAAGTAGGGTACCAGAGTCCCCCAAGTCAAGAGCTGGGGAAGGTACATCATGCTAAGCAGGGACATCAGATTCAACAGAATCAAACAGACCTTCTGAGGAGAAAAATAGGTATTAACAGCGGACCCACTGTGCAGAAGAAGATTAACTCTGAACCCTACCCAAAACTACCCTAGGAAACTACCCAAAATTAAACCAAACAAAACTGAGTACCAGTCAAGGGTGGAACAACTTCAAGGGGCCTACGGCATGGGTAACTGGAGAAACACCGGAGAAGAAAAGGGGACAAGAGAGAAAATATCTGAAGACAAAAATGACTCCCCACCCCAAAAAATAGCTTATAAATTTTCCAAAATTTGATGAAAATTATAAACCCATAAATATCAGCAGCTTGTCAACCCCAAGCACAACATGAAGACAATTATACTGAGGTTTGACATAAAATTGTCCAAAGCCAGTGACAACAAAAATACTAAAATCAGGCAGAGAATACATGCCCTACAAAGGAAAAAAGAAAGGATGATGGCAGATTTCTATGACAAGCCAGAGACAACGGAGCAACAGCCTAAAAAGCACAGCAACTGCTAACCAGACCATCACCCCCAGAAGACGTTGCTCACAAACAAGGTGAGATGAAGATTTCAGACACACAAAAGCCAAAAGAATTTACCAACAACAGACCTGCTTTACAAGGCATGGAAGTAAAATCCCTCACGTGGAAGAAAAATGGTACCAGACAGAAATCTAAACCTACAAGGAAGAATGAAACACACCAGAGTGGCTAACTATGTTGGTCAAAGTAAAAGACTTGTTCTCATTATTTAAGTCTCTTTAAAAGAAAATTAAATTGAGATTCAATGCAATGCCTATCAAAACTCCAAAGCCATTTTTTTAAGAAGTGGAAAAGCTAAATTTAAAATTCACATGGAATTAGAAAGGTCCTGRAATAGCTAAAAGAATGCTGAAAAAGTAACAAAGAGGGAGGGCTCATAATTTCTAATATTAAAACATAAAATGAAGCTATAGTGTTTAAAACAGTGTAGTAATGGAATCGCAATAGACAGAGACCGCTGGAACAGACAGCATCCAAAAATAAACCCCAAACATATGCTCAGTTGATTTTTGACAAGAGTACAAAAATAATTCAATGATCGAAAAATAGTTTTTTAACAAATGGTGCTGGAACATGTGAATATCTACATTAATAAAAGATTTCTATAAAATCCCCAAATATTTAGCAACTAAACAACACACTTCCAAGTAACCCATGTGTCAAATGATAGTATTGGGGCAGGGGACTGGGAATTGAACTCAAGGGCACTGGACCATGGAGCACATCCCCAGCTCTATTTTGTATTTTATTTAGAGGCATGGTCTCACTGAGTTGCTTAGCGCCTCAGTTTTGCTGAGGCTGCCTTTTAACTTGCAATCCTCCTGCCTCAACCTCCCAAGCCATGTGCCACAGCACYGGCCCAAATGAAAGTATTTTTAACTAAATACAAATGAAATGTAAGTAAGAATGTAGGCATGTCAATAAGCAAGTACTTAGGATATTTATAAGACTAAATGCCTACTATAGAAAAAAAGACAGGCTGGGGTCGTGGCTCAGGTAGAGCACTCACCTTGCACATGCGAGTCCCTGGGTTTGATCCTCAACACCACATAAAAAAAAAATCAATAAATAAAATAAAGGTATAAAAAAATTAAAAAGAAAAAAAAGACAAGTCCAATGACTTCAGTTTCYATCTTTAAAAAACTAGCCCAGGAACCACAGGCACAGGCTGGCATCTGATGAGTTCTGTGAGGAAAGGTCAGCTGGCCCAGTCAGAACTGTCCTCTGCAGCTGGTGCTTATGCATTCACTTCTTCCCTCAGTTGCTCAAAAAWCATATGGCAGCATCAGTGGAATACTAGGACACAACTTTGCCTAAACTCCAGGWCCTCTCCTAATCTAGTGTGGGACTACAACTTGTAGGGCCACTTAGGAAATCAGTATCTACTAAAGCTAAACACGCACCTGTTCTCTGATGCAGCATTACCACTCCTAGGCATGTACTAGAGAGGAACCCTGAAAAAACACATTTATAGGAACATTATTTACAAAAGGCTGTACCAGGGGCTGGGGTTATGGCTCAGTGGT